TCATTTCAGCTTGTGACTAGCATCCAATCATTTTCCCATTTGTTATTAGAAAAAACAAGAACTAATGGAGACACTGCTCAGTTAAAAACACTTGCTAAGAAACCCCTCAAAGGGTTAACAAAGGGATGGCAAATTTTAAGAAGTAGTGAACTAACTGCTCATTCTGACCTGGGATAAGTCCTGGATCCCTGGTGTCACTCAATTTATTTACCCTTAGAATGGGAACAAGAGAAGCAGTTATAAGTAATTGCTAATAAAAGCTTGTTTGCCTCTGGCAGAAATACAAATGTGTGCTGATAATGATCATTTTCCCAGACCTTAGTTTATGTTTCTACATTAACATTCCAAGGCCCATCTCTCTGGTTCCCAAGATCCTATAGGTTGTCGTCTCCGACTAGAAGACGAAGCTGAGATTTAGACACTCAGTGGACCTTATTTCATGTTTCAGTGGCCGGCTCTGCTCTCTCTCTCCCCAAGAAGCCATCACACATTGTCTCCATCTCATTTAATGGCTCAACAAAATGACATACAATTCTTTGTGATGAATGCACTCAAGGACACCACCCCAGAGAACTTGTTTCTCTAAGACCCACCAAAGGATAAAATGTTCTCAATGCCTCCTCCTAAGATAATCGCCCTTTCTCAAATTCCCCCTTTAATTGGCTGGTTGAGCGTCCCTTGGGTGTGACAGCACAAGTTTATCCCAGGTGTGTAACCAAGATAGAAAACCCTTCCTGGTTTTCAAGCACCCTGACCTGGACCATGGCATAAACGCTGGACTGTAACTCTTGAAAATGGCTGCAACCACAGGACTTTGAAGAAAAGGATCATCTACTTGAGGAGATTGACCTTTATGACCTCCTTCTGTAAATGGGAGCCAGACCTGTGGGACCCACTGCTGCAGACCCAAAACAGATTCAACAGAACCATTTTGCTAGAGAAAGGACAGAGTTAAATGGCAAAGTTTAAGCGGAATAACAAAAGGTCACATGGCTGCAGACTGTCAAAATATCAATACTCCCTTCTTCCAAATGTGCACCCACAAAAGTAGCATCATTCTAGCAAGTATAAATGGCTACAATAAATTCTAAGTAATTACTATTGCACTGTTTGTCTGTCTATCAGCATCCCATATGAAAACTCTTAAGGTAAATTGTTACATTCTTGTTCTGGGAAAACAAATTACTCTTTTTTTGCCAACTACTTCTCAAATTTATTACCCCCCCCCCCAATTCCTAAAGATTGTATTTAAAGGTATCACCTTTGAAAGTGACGAAGCCAATGTCCCCCCTGCCATCCCCATCCTAAGGAACCAGCTTTGTCCAAGTGACTTTTTTTAACCACTAAACATTGATCAGAACTAGAAAAGGACAGCAATACACCCTACCGTCAAATAGCATCCATAAAAGACCCATCAAGGGTCCTTTCAATCACTGTCACCATGCTAATGTTTATACATAATGATCCTCAATAACTGCCCATATATTTCTATGCTAAATAGGGATTAATGCTATCAGGTTTTAAGATAAAACCACATTATCATATACTAAACTATTCTAAATATAGTCTAAACCTCACCATTGACCTAAATAACAATAGTTAAAAATCATTTTTATCACCTTTAGTTGTACAGAGGGTTTCGGTTTCATGTGTCAGTTTATGTGGATAATGCATCCTGACCAGTGCCACCCTTTTCTTCATTCTTCCCCATCACTCTCAATGCCACCCATCCCCGCAATTTTCCTAGTTCCATTTTCACTTCCATTGCTTGAATATTATGACTGCATTCTCCCTCGCTTCCTCTCTTCATAAATCTACCTCTCTCCCCTTGACCCCCCACTCCCATCCCAATGCCTCAAGTTCCATTTTTCCGGTATTCATTTTGTTAAGACTGCAAGATAACTGTAAATACTATATTTTAAAAGAAAGCTTTCTTCAGCATTAATTTTAGCTTAATGATAAACTTGCCTTTAGTTTGGCCTGGAAGGAAAGGATTCCCTTTCTAAATGTCTATGTTAAATGATCTACAAAGAAACAGGAAAATGTAAGACCTCTTTCTGGAACTAAAATGATTGAGGTTAGAAGAAATGCCTGTTAAAAGAAATAAATTTTGAAGGTGCATATTCCGTCAAGGGTGAAGTGTTTAGTAATAAATTACTATCGAACGATTATCTGCCTAATTAAAAATATTTCCATTCCTCTGTTTACTTGACTACACACTCTTCTGCCTGAGGAGATTCAATATCGTAAATTGACATTGGGATTGCTAAATCCAAACAGCATGGACTGCTTCATATGTACATATTTTCTGCATGCTGAAATATTCTTTCCATCTCAACTATATGTACTTATATTATATGTGCTGTTAACTCAATTTTGAGGAAATGTCAAATCTTAGTTTTCATTATTTTCCTGATAGAGTTCACTTCTGTTGCCGTTATTTAAACCCCAGGTGAACAAATAAAAGGACGAGAAAAGTTCAGTAATTCTATTTCCAACATATGACTTGCACTTGGTTTGAACTTTGTCTAGATTACTTCTACCAAAAGGGCTAACCATTTCTATCCAGCTCCTCTCCCCACCACTCACAAAAGAAAAAAGAAAGAAATTACAGTTTCACTATGGATGTCAGCAACTTATTGTCACTATTTTCAGTTAATTTTTAAAAGATTATATTCTTTCCATCTAAAATAATTTTTGACCCTGAATTCAACTGCTAGAAACAACAAAACTGCTTTAAAGTATCAAATTTGCAACCAAAAAAAAAAAATCTCAAGAAGTCACTAATGGGATTCCCATGACCTAATACACATAAGGCTTTAGCTGTAACCATAAACTCACAGGAAGCTTATGATCTGAAAGTTGGGAGTATTGTAGCCAGTTTTTATGAGTTTAATTCCTCTGGCAAATCCAAGATTCTACATTTTAAGTCTCTTCAACTAGAGAAAAATCACAGCACATGTAGACCAGAATACTAAAGAAAGTACAAAAAAAGAGGGAGGGGACAAAGAAAATCGGTGCTAACAACCACCGTCTACCCCAAACCATCAATGAACTTCTAGAAACACAAGACTGAACAAACTTTAAGCCTGAGATACATGTCACCTCAGTTGTAACACCCATAAATCTACCTGTGAATCACTGTGTTTTCTCCTATTTTATTTCCACACTGAGAAATCAATAAATCACAGAACTTACTCAGCCTACTCTGATAGAACAACAATTTTCTGAGCCTATTTATTGCTCCTTTCCTTGCATATTTTATTCTATGTTCTATGATCCAATTCTGTGACTCTTCTAAGCCAAGAAAAGCTGCCTTCAAGTTAAAGCAAAAGGACTGAAATTCAGCCTCCTGAGGTACTTAGAAGTTGTGTTTTGTCCTGGGAACCCCCCTCCTCTTCACAAAGGCAGTGATTGAGCAGGGTGCCTTAAGAGTTGTGATTTGAATAAACTCTCTTTTTTCTTCAAAGGATTTTGAGTTATTATAGCAAATGGTTGTTCTCAAAAGAAGATTTAGCCTACTTCTCCTTGCAAACAGTCAGACAAGGCATCACACATAGCAGATACACTCATGTAAAAACCTCAACATCAACTCTACCTCTCTTGTTCCTAAAATTTCTCATTTCTTATTTCATATATATATAAAACATATACTTATATGTTATATGGAGTAGAACATATTATAAACTATAATATATTTATAAAAATATTCAATATTGCAATGTTTGTTATAGGTCGACAGGCTCCACTATCCTATCCTGGAGACAAACTGTTAACAAAAAAAGTATTAGCAAGTAGTTGTCATTTGGTATTTCATTTCCAAATGCACAGATTTTAAAACAATTCCATGGTGTGCATTTATTATATACATTTACCAGTTAACCTATAGGAACCATCAATAGATTCAAGATGAAAAACCTAGGAGTACAAACACTATGTATACTAGTGAATGTTTCACAAAGTCTTTCAAAACCACTGCTGGCAAGATTCTTCACCTTTTCAATGCAAGTATAGCTTAATTAAAATTTCATGCCAGCTATACAACAAACATAACCTCAAAGGTGCTTTTGGTTTGGAATGCACTAAATGTTTACCTTTAATGAAAAGCAGGTCAACTTCTTTGATAAAAATTGCTTCAACTTTTTTTTTTTTTTTTTTGCTACACCCACATTTTCATAGCCTAAATACTGACAATGCCAAGGCATTCTGTAACTTGGAACTTTTCTTGTGGCACTTTTTCAAATGCCCTTGGCTTTATATTCTTCACAGATTTATTTTTTCCAAATTTGTTTTTTCTGTTTCTCTTTCCTACTCATCTTAGCTTCTTTGAGGAGAGGGAAACAGATTTGAGGGATATTTTTATTGTCCGTATTATAGGTTTTATTTACTAAAGACAAATGGGGGAGATTAGTTTCTCCCTCAGACTGGGCCACAAATTCAATGTACTCTTGACCAAAGGGAGACCATTTTAAGAACTCAACCTAAACAAATTTGTCGTGAATTCCTGGGCACCAATTAAACTTGTAAAAATTATCAGTGGAGACACCCGAAGTTGGACAAGCTAACTCCAGGCGAGAAGAAAGACCCTCCATGCTCAAGTGGAAAAGAAAGACCATCCATGCTCAAGTGGAAACTCACAACCCCACTTCCCGAAACAAGACTTGGGTGCTGAGTTAGGTCGAGTTTGAATTTTCTAACTGGAAACCACAGCGGTGCGGGGAAAGAAGGAAGTAAATGTTGTCCTCTGAGCCCAAGGAAGAAAAGCACTGTCTTTGCTTGATTTCCAGTCCTGGGACAGGCAGACATCTTTCTGGCCCTTCCAGGCCTTGAAGCAGATGCCCACCGCTAGTGTCCAGGTTAAGTTTCCTTACAAGGGCACAAGAAAAGAATCCCTTGACTCTTTTCTTTTTGCCCTCTGGTCGGAAAACAGAGGAGACCGACCGACCCACCAGGGCGCTAAAGCCACCGCACCCTACTCATCTCCCGGCGGGGCGTCTTACCCGTACAGGAATGCAGGGGCTTGGGTCGGACGACCAGCGACGGGCACACGGAGTAGAGGGAAAGTTTCTCAAAGTAGTCGCAGGTCTCCTTGGAGAGGATCTCGTCGATCATGAAAGTCTTGTAGCGCCGCCTGGCTGCTTTGAGCTGGCCCGGCGAACTCAGTCTCAGTTCGGCGTGGCAGTGCATGGTGAGCCGCGACGAGCGCCCGCAGACCCGAACGCGGCTGGGAGTGCGGGGTCGGCGGGGCGCGGGGGTGACCCCAGAGGCTGGCGCGCGGCCGGGGGCCTGAGCCCCGCTCCTCTGCGGCGGGACGGGCGGCGGGGCGCGCCAGGCGCGCGGAGGGGAGCAGGCACGGGCGCGCCCGACTGCGCGTCTACACCCACCCGCAGATCAGCAGCATCTTTGGCTAGCCTTTTTGGGACACCGCAGCTGTCAATCAGCGAGAATTTCCTGCAGGGCCAGGTGCTGAGTGCAAGCCGAGGGGCGTCGGCACCCACTCCTACCCGGGCGATCAAGCGATGGGGCCCGACCGGCGCGCTTAAGCCACTCTCCCTCGCCTCCTCTCGGTTGTCAGCGTCTAGCGCTTTCGCTGAGAGCGCTAGACACTGCCCGGCTCTCTATTTTAAGACATTCGTTTTGGCTCTCCTCCTCCTCGCCACCCCCTCCCCCACGAACTCCAGGTGTGTGCTCAGCTGTGCGCGCGCGCGTGTGCGCGCAGTGCTGGCCGCGCGCGCCGCCCCCTCGAGCAGCCCAGGCCTCAGCAGGCTGCGTTTCCCAAGCGGGTCCCCAAGCGCGCGCGCCCCGCTGCCAGTCACCTGCGGGCCCCGCTTGACCTGGAATCCGGCAGATTCAAAGGTCAAGAGGTCTTTCTAGAAAGAACCCTAGTCCTCCTCTGGACTGCGGGCCACATTTCCAGGTACCTCCCGAGGACCCCAGTGGTTTTTCTTCTCCACCCCCTTTGGCCATTTCTTCACCACGGATTTCTTTTCTCCGCTTGCAGCCTCGTCGCTGCCCGCGCCAACTCGTGCGCTCCACGCAGGAGGCGTTTGCGCCGTTTGTGAACCTGACCGCTCCACCAAGATCCCAAACGATCAGTGACCATTGACAGTGACCAGGGACAATCCGTTACCCCAATAATAAGCTGCAAAATAAAGTAATTAAAGGATGCGGGTGTTTTGTTTTGTTTTGTTAACTTTTAAACTATCAATACGTTTCCTTACCAGAAGGGGCCAGACATCGCCATTTCGGGGCGCTGGCAGCCTTTCAGCCCCAATTCTTGCTTCCAAGCGCCCAACTCCCCCGCCCAGCTACCTGAATTTCATCCCCAGGACGTTTGCCATGGGGTAGAACTCGGGTAACCGCGTAGATGATATTTATTTGGGGGGTTGCCGTCTTCTTTCTGTGACCCCCAACCTCTGAGTGTATCCCCGGTGTTTATTTGCGCTAACTTGTTTTCGATCGTAATCACTGAGTTGAGGATACCTTCGCGCAGCTTCCGCGCCCCGGACGGCTGCCGCGATCCCCGGCAAACGCAGCAGTAGGCGGGAAATAGAGGAAGCACACTCGTTTCCACGATTTTTGTCTCGAAATCGATAGGCAGCGGGGCTGGAAAGCAAAGTCACTCTACAGACCCAGTATGGTGGACTGGGACGGTTGAGATTTCCTCACCTGGAAGTGGCCACGAGTTTCCCGCAGCTCCTCGGAGCTGCTTGCCCTGAGGGGATTGGAAGCCGGGGGAGGGGGGGAGCGAGTGGGCGCACGCCTGGGCAGATGATTAAACCCAGAGGAACGATCGGACTTGGAGAAGTAATAATTAGGCACTTAGGGAAAGTTGCTATTAACAGAGAGGGTCAGGCCCCCCAGCTTTTAGCCCGCAGCATCTATTGAAGACTTCCATTTCCCAGTGTTTCGTGTGTCCTGATTCTCCATTTAGAATTGTTTTTAGTTATTTTCCTCCGTGCCGAGGCGGCTCGAGGGCCCGTGAGAATTGTCTCCAGATGTCTCAGCGGCGGCGCACGTTCAGCCGCACAGCCCTGGGGTCCACCTCACCCCCTCACCCCCACCCCACCCCGCCCTGGCCTGTGCGCGTTCCCCAGCTTTTGCGGTTGACCCTGTGACCTGAGGATTGTCAGGGTTGTTGACCCAGAACTCTTTTCGCTCAACCTCGGCGCCGCCAACACCCCGCTCCAGCACCAAGGGTAGGACAGGAAGCCACTGCTCCGGGAACCCCGGCTGGATCCCCGAAGGCGCAGCGATAATCGCTCTATTTGCCTCCTCCCGCCTCGCCCCCCAGAAAAGTGTGGAGCTGTAGGCAGCCACCAAGAAAGGAGAATTTGAAAAGGATCTGAGTGTAGAAGGGCTGACTGCGGGGCGGACGTGGAGCGCTCCGAGGCCCGCGCGCGCGTGCGGGATCGCACCGATACTGAGCAGCACCAGGGCTGCGCGTTACGCGTTTAGGCAATGACAGACCCCACTCTGTGCGTACCGAAGACCCACACTCCGGCCTCCTCTTCCCCGACCCTGGGGCTTTCTCGGTCCCCCTTTTCCTCAACTGTTTTTCCCTCGCCAGTCCTTCCCATTCCTCCTGCCCCTCGCGGAATTTTGTGGGTGTGTTGGTTTTTATTTTCCTTCCCGTTTCTCCCTTTCCCCATTGCGACCCCCCCACCCCGCCGCCCCTTTTGGCCTCCACTCCTGTCGAACTTTCTACTTGTCTTTTCTCCCTTCTCTCAGTCGATCTATCCTCCCTCTCTCTCTCCCTGTAGCGCATCTTTTGCTCCTTTTTCTTTCTTTTCTTCTAACTCTTCTCCCTTTTCTCCAAATGGAGGTCGAAGGTGGGGGTGCCTGGTGACAACGCCACGCGGAAAATCTTCAGCGTGGATAGTGTGGAAGACTACTCGCCCCAGGAGGTCAGGAATTACCCTCCCACCAGCTTTGTCCTTCTGCGCCCCCCTTCCCCCCTCAACTTCCGACTTGGACAGAATGAGCCACGGGCACACAATTCTCCCAGACACTCCCTAGGATTTGACTTTTTTGAAGTCTGCGGAGTTTTAATAGCTAAAGAAGTAAAACTCTGGGAAGAGGAGATTTGAAATAAACGAATGGGGAGCGCGATGGGTGAAGGCAGTCATATTGTTCGGTGGACATCTGTAGAAATGAGACCGGATAAATTGAGGGGATGGATGGGGCTGAGATCTGGGAGAATTATGGAAGGGGTGACACTGATCCAGATGCATTGTCCTCATGAACTGACACGTCTAATTGAAACCCCTGTGTGCCCCAACTTAAAGATAAGTTTAAAAAAATTAAAGGGAAATAGCGCATCCCAACCAGCCATTTGAGTTTTCGAGTTTTTTTTCTTTCTTTCTATATTCTACTGCAGAGGAAAGAAATGTCAAAGGGTGGACCTGTGAGCACAAATCTCCAAAAGCAGAAGTGGGAGATTTCGGATCTTGGAGTCCAGCCTTCACTCAGCTGCTCATAACCTAAATGGAGCCTCTATTTTTTTTTCCATTTGTTAATGGTAATCATAATACCTACTTTGCAAGGTTGGACTTTCATAATACGTATCTTTATATAAGCTTGCTCCCTCTAATGAGAATGCCCTAAGCACTCCATCTCCTCCTCCAGAAAAACGAGTTCTAGACACTTCTCAAATGTCACCTCCTCCCTGAAGCAGTTTTCCCACTCCCTAAGGCTGCCCATTGCCATTCCTCCCATATACGCCCAGCTCTTCGTTTACTTAAAGTGTCTCTTTACATGTGACTGGCACACTGGACAATGATCTTCTGGTGATCCAATGGTCTTCGCCATATTATCTACACCGATCACCAATACCCACATGGCACCTGGCACATGGTGGCCCGCAGTAAATGTGTCATGCATACATGAATTTGTGAAAGCTGGGAAAACTAAATTATATAATGTGTTTGATGGGACATCAAATCTTAATTAGTTGTACTAAATTTGTCTTTCTCTTTAAATGAGTCTCTCCTCTTGCCTTGATAATTTGGGCTTTTAGCTGTGGCATCTAGCCCAATTCTCTTTCTGCTCCATGCCCCTCTTTCACTCCCTGCCTGTGGCTTTCAGACCATAAAGCACTTCTGTGGGAGGGAGGAAGCACAGCCTAGCTGTCAATCACAAAGTGGAACTCTGGTCAGAATAGCCAGGGGTTTTGTTTTCAACCATAATGAAGTGACTGGAACAGCAAACCTCTGCCAAGGATTCAAGCCTTTTCCAGCTGCTGGAGACCCACAGACACTACTCAATCTCCAGGGAAGGACCCCAAGCAGTGTCTGCCCCTGCACCCACAGAGGAACACCAATGGAAGGCCAGACTGATGAAAGAAGTGGGGACATTCACAGCCTCCTGGGGTTGAGGGCTGTAGCAAACCACTCCTTCCCAGTCTATCTTAGGGACTGAGCCCAATCAAAAAGGGTTAAGGACACCTTTGTAAAGTTAGAGCTAGGAGCTCTGACAACTAAAACCCAAAGACTGCCTCTTTCCCTTTCTATCTCACATCCAGTAACGCCACTCACCAAGAACTCTTGAAGTTTAGCTTTTTAAAAAAACAAACATTGATTTTTTTATCTTAAGTTGTATGTACATATATACACACATGTTTATAACACTTAAGTTATATGTAGCCCTCGACAGTCTGTTAGTTACCTATCCTTGGCTAATCTTGAGCTATGTGTTATAAATATTCAAAAGTACCCAGGGCATCCTAAGGCTAAACACACTCATTTCTTCGCCATCTTTACTCCAAAGGGTGAGGGAGGGGCCAGAAGCTCTTACCTTCTATTTAAGTGTATTTAGTAACTTGTATTTCAGCCGCTACATTTTGAAATCATTTCAGACATGTAAAAGCAAAATAGGGAAAGCCTTGTAAGTTAATATTCCCCTGAGCCCCAGGGCCCATGCCAAGACTGCTGGCTGTCTGAGCTGCCCACACAGCAGCCTCGAATAACAAGTCAAAGGGTGTGGATAAGAGAGGGCAGCTTATTTTTAATGATGATATTAATTTACAAAGCTGCTCTCCTACATTGGAAGGTATCTTTTGAAGAGAGAGGAAAAATGCAATCCACCTGACAAATGAGCTAACTAGAGCCTTCTCTCCTGCCTCAAAAACCTATTTTAAATTGCAAAAAAAAAAAAAAAAAAAAAACCTAGACAGTACACTATATCAT